TGCCTGATCCAGAAATCCAGCTGCCTCAAGGTGAGTCATTATTGCTTTATTTCTGCTCTGTTATATTCTCTTCATCGAAACTAAAGAAAGTCTTCAAGACTCTTGATTTGTTGGTTCTTCAGCTCTGCTGTTGACAATCAAAGGAAGTCTCAAACGTGTCCATCTTCTGTTTCTGTGTGTTCTTCAGGATCCGTCGTGTCTTTGTTTGAAGTGGGACATTTGATCGCATCAGGGAACTTCAGTAAGGTCTATGAGGGAACACACATATTCAGCGACAAAGTGAAGGTTGCTCTGAAGTGTGTCCCTAAGCGCAGAGCGGACCGCTATCTTGACATTGTAAGTTGGCAAAACCTGAAGAATATTTGGTGTTTTTATAACCTGTAGCTGACATGCAGCTGGAACAGAAGACCGCAAACTAACGGCGGTTGTGTTCGTCTCTTCTCAGCCTGGTCACTCCAAACCCATGCTTGCTGAAGTGGCTCTGATGCTCCGGCTGGGAGAAGCTCCCTCGTGCCCCAACATCATGGAGCTACACCAGTGGCTGGAGGAGGAGAGCAGCTTCACTCTCATTATGGAGTACCCTGAACCCTGCAGGACCTTGGAGGATTACATCTTGTTCTCCGGCCCCGTTAGTGAAGCACAAGCACGCTTGTTCATGCTTCAGGTGCTTCAAGCGGTCAAACACTGCCATGAGCGTGGAGTTTATCATGGTGATATCCGCTCGAGGAACATCCTGGTGACTCTCCACAGTCTGGAGCTCAAGCTCATCGACTTCCGCTGCGCTCGTCTGATCAGCAGCGAGGGCTTTAACAGCAGTCAATACCAAGGTGAGTCTTGCTGATGATCACGTGATGTTGTGCTGTTGATGGTGAAGCGTACAGAAGCACTGAAGCTGTGTGTGTCTCTCACAGGATCAGACGCATACACCCCTCCTGAGGTCCTCAGTCAGTCCGTATTCCACGCCGCAGCAGCAGACGTCTGGGCGCTGGCCGTTCTGCTCTTTGAGATCATTCACAGATATCTGCCCTTCGAAAGCTTTGATGCCATTCAGCACGGCTACATCAGGGTGGATCCCACCTTATCCACAGGTGAACACACAAACAGCTCCACATTATGCTGATGTTTACTGTTCATGTTTGATGTGTGGAGACTAACCGTGCTCTCTCTGAACTCTTCCCAGCGTGCCATGACCTGATCTTCCACTGCTTGAGCCGTAATCCAGCTCACCGGCTGACGCTGCGGCAGCTGGAAGAGCACCGCTGGATGAAAGCCTAGACTGGAAGAAGGCAGGGATCCCAGTGTGCATCAGACAGAGCAGAGCTGAGGAGTTTAGTGAGTGAGCAGCGGCGTCACAGGAAAGGCAGCGAGACTCTGGATCTGCAGGTTAAATGACGACTGTGTTCACAAACACCTCAGAGCATCGGCAGACAGCAAAGCAGCGTTTGTGTTCACGTGCTCGTATTCTTAACCCGCGAACACCTGCAGCACCGTCATACCTATATTTACCTATATTTCAGAAGGTAAATGCTATTTTTGTATATTTCAGAAGGTAAAAGCTATTTTTTGTATAATATTTCATAAAGTAAATGCTATTTTTGTATATTTCAGAATGTAACTGCTATTTTTGTATAATATTTCAGAAAGTAAATGCTATTTTTGTATATTTCAGAATGTAAATGCTATTTTTTTAATAATATTTCAGAAAGTAAATTATATTATTTCTAATATTTCAGAAAGTAAATGCTATTTTTGTATAATATTTCAAAAAGTAAATAGTCACTAATTGGTGGCTTATAGTGACATTAATGCAAGAAATTAAAAAAATATATTTTTTATAATATTTCTGAACGCTGCTAATAACTAATAATTTAATAATTTATTAATGTAGTAACTAATAATTTCTTAATTAAGTAATTTATAAATGTATGAAGAATGAATAAAAATATTTTTAATCAACCCACTGATAATTTCATTGCCAGTGCAGGGAGTCAAAGTGATGAACGAGTCTTTCTCATTGCATTACACTCATATTCTCTTTACTGTGTGATTAGTAGAATATTTCATAACTCATCATTTCACACAATGAAGTGCGTCCACCTGAACGGACACGAGCTTTGTGGGTGTAGGAAGTGGTTAACTGGGATTAATTGTAGAACGAGTTAATGCAACTGAAAGAGATTCACTCAAAAACGAACCTTCTGTCAACATAGAAGATATAGTGAGAAAAGTCTCAGATATAATGAAAGCCATTCTTCTAAAGATCTCGTCCTGTGTTCAGGAAAGACCTTGAGATGCAGAGGCGTGTCCTGAAGCAGACTGACACATTCACACAGTTTGCTTTCAGAGTTTACTGAGTGTGCCGGTCACTCATCAACAGCTCTGGTCAGATCCAGCTTCATCATGTTTGTTCCTCCTCTCAGTCCCGACAGGTACACCTGTGCTTTGGGTACGTTACTCTCTCCGTCCCGCTTCGTCTGGCTGGCGGCGTCTTTAGGGAGGAACGTCTGTGTGCTGTTGTGTCGTCTCATGTGACTCGAGTGCGTCTGCATCGAGCGTGTGACTTTATTCTGCAGATTGGCCTGAGACAGAGAGGTTCTTACAGGGTTAAATTCTCTAATGCATGTCTGGACTGAGATCATGTGTGTGAACGCTTCTCACCAGTTTAATGGCTTTTCTTCGGAGCTCCCACTCGTTCCACTCATAGGACTTCACAATGTTGGTCTCCAGAGGGTGTGTCTCTGTCTGCATGCTGGCGTCACTTTTAGAGATGGTTTTCACCAGCAGCTTCTCTCCTGACTGCATCTGAGACATGAGCAGTACTGTGTGAGTTTCTGCATCAGCTGATTGTGCTTCTAGATTGCACCTTTAAATCAAATACAGAGATGCATTTCTTGAACTATTATATATGTCTGTAGAAGAATAACACATACAAGCTTTTCACACTGTGCTTATTTGTTGTTCTAATCCCTGCTTTTTACTCCAGGTAAAGCTGTTATGTAAACAGGTCACATACTGCATTCATCCAATCAATGACCTCGACACCGCCAATATGCAAAAAAGTCTGTTCAAGGTTTAAGTACATAGCAGAGCTGCACGATTCTGGAAAAATTGAAAATCATGATTTTTTTTTGGCCTCAAATAGAGATCACGATTCTCCCACGATTCTAAACTAAACAAAATTAATGTGTGACAAAATATTAGATGCTGCAGTCTATTTAAAAGTGTTTAATTCATTTAAATGAATTATCAAAATTATAACATTTATATATATATTTAAAATATTGAATACTCCAAATGTTAATATTAAAATTATGAAAAAGTGGTTTGAATGAATGATTCAATGACTCAAAAATACTTCACTTGTTTCCTTACTGGATGAGTCAGTTTTTGAACAAATCTCTTGAATGAATGTGTCACAAAACAGATAACCGAGAACACCGGTAAGTGAGTACAGCAGGTTTATTGAAGCCGAGATCAGAACAGGAAATCAGGTAAGTTCAGAAGTCAACATAACATCAGGCTTGTTTGAGATGCGCCTCGCCTGAAATGTAGGCGAGAGTAGGCGGCTGCAGTGAGGGGAGGAGTGAAATAAGTGCAGTCAAGACGGACAGTTCTGACCTCTCAAAGTGGAACAGAGGATGGTTTTCCTGGTCGTGACAAATCTCTCAATGAGGGGAATTGAGAAGCCGACATGCTCCGTGGCTGAGGTCGACACTAAACTCTGGTCGAGGGCTGGAGAATGCTCTGGGCTCTGGTTAGGGGCTTGAGTCTTTACTGGGAACTGGTCAGGGCCTGGAGCTCACACTGGACTTTGGTCAGAGGCTGGTGCCAATTCTAGACAATGCTCGGTGGATAGTGTAGTTTCAGGGAGGAACTCATGGATATGTTTGAGCACAGACCCAGAAAAAAAAATGAGGGGAATGGTATTTCTGACATTTACTCAGACTGAAGAGGGAACGACCCTCTTGACCGTGATGAGGGAGCTGGATTTCACAGTATAGGGAATGGCCTTTTTGACCGTGACGAGGGATCAGGGTTCCACAGTACAGGGGACGGCACTTCTGGCCATATTGAGGAAGTTGAGTTTCTCAGCAAGAGGATCTGCACTCCTGGCCATGATAGGGTAGCTGATTCTTACAGCGATGGGAACAGCACTCCTAACTGTGACAAGGACATTTAAAGGGGTCATATGATGCTTTTTTTAAAAGATCATTATTTTGTGTATTTGGTGTAACAGAATATGTTGACATGCTTTAATGTTCAAAAAACACATTATTTTTCAAATACTGTACATTATTGTAGGTCCTCTATGCCCCGCCTCTCTCAAACGCTTCGTTTTCTACAAAGTCCCTCCTTCCAACAAGCGCAGTCTGCTCTGATTGGCCAGCTGACCCAGTGCATTGTGATTGGCCGAACACCACAAGCACTCATCGGAAATGTAACGCCCCTTACTATAAATCACGAGCTTTCAAAATAAATGTAAAGACAGAGCCCGAAAGGGGAAGAAGAGTCGCATGACAAACACACAGTGATGAAGCTGGTATGTGTTTGCAGTACACAAGCCACGGTTAAGACAGCTTGCTTTCGCCTAGAAACACACAGCGTGTCCCTGACATGCTGCTTCAACACTAACTGCGGTTACTGAAACCACGCCTTCTTTCTTTGCGTGCACATTTGGGCGGCATTATGCTAATATTTCCACATAGTGAGGTAGATATGTGGGGGCGTGTTAGAACAAGCCGTTTTAGGGGGGCGTGGCAGAGTCTCAACTTTGATAAAGAATATCTATCTGAATAAGCAGACGTCTCCTTATGCTTTCTCTCGCCGCACTTTGATGTCATACACCGATCGATCTTCAAGTCGAACAACCTCTTTACTCTTGCATGTCACGTGACCGAGTGTAATCGCAGCCTTTGCGATTGAAAAAAAATTGAATTTTTTCATATCACAAATGCAATTAATCATTCAGTCCTATTCTTGATCATTTGATATTTTGTAAGGGTGATTTTATAATTTCAAAATATAGAGGAAAAAGTAGAAATTAATGATTTTGTATTTTTAAATTTTACATAAGTGTTTGTTTACCAAAGTATATTTTGGTCTTCCCATTAAAAATAACATTCAAACTGGATCATTTTAGAGCTTTAAAGTGCTGGAAATAGTTGTGCGAAATGCTTGAAAGCCATTGAAAAGTGCTTTAATTTCTCTCTCAAAAGGTTGTACAAACCCTGAAATGAATGATGTAATGCATTCGACTATTTCTACCACAACACCATGGTAACAGTTAGCGTTACCGCTTCTGGTTTCCATACCTATGTCAGCACTGTTTATAACAGGGAATTCTGTGCATAATTTGAATGATTCTCACTAGATCTCGCAGCAACCTTATCATTTATTTATCATTAACTTTGGCTCCTAAGTAAACTTGTTCAAACAAACGTAGCGCCAGGCTCGACTATTTGCCAGGCGCCTGCACAGCTGAGACATAGCGCAGTTTAGTTTCGTTTGCCGTCTGATGTTTCTCAAATGCAACAGAAATGGCAGTGCTTATGAGTTGGACAACGTGGTGGTTGAATTGGAGAGAACACTGGACTGAGTCTAGGAACTGGACAGGGCTTTGGAGAAACTACAGGGACTGGATGAGACCTCTGATCAGAAGGATGGCCATCTGAAATTCTGACTTGGAACTGGTGGCCATGACAGGGAATGATTCAGTGACGGCGGCCATAATGGGTGATGACTGACGATGATGGGTGAGGAATGGAGATCGGTGGCCATGTTATGTATAGCTGATCTGGGACTGGCAGGCATTAAGGGTGATTGGTCTTGATGGAATTCTTGTACAGACTTTAGGACCAAAGGAAAACTTAGAAGGGACTCACTACAGAACTCGGAGTTAGGAGCGAACACATTGTGGAACTCTGGGACTGGAGTGGATTCAGGGGTTGGTTCAGGGATCAGAATAGACACCGGGTGGTAGTTGGAAGCAGGACTTGCAGAGGGCCGTCTTTTCTTACTATGCCTCCTCCTTTGGGCAGAGGTGAAAAGTGCTGAGGTTTTAATAGTCTCCGAGTTTGTCCCAAGCTTTGGGGCTGACTCATGGGTGAGAACAGGTTCTGGAACAGGAATGGACTTACAACTGAACTTAAAGGCCGAGACAGATTTGATGACTGGCATGAACCCTGGGACAGGTGAGATGGATCAGATGGTTAAGGAT